CCCCCCCCCCCCCCACCAATTGAAGGCCACAATCATACATGCAAAAATGCAAAGTTTGCAGCACTTTACAAATCATTCAGAAATAAGAGCTTAACGTTGAAAACTAGTAATTTCCAAAATCCCCCATAAGCATGACTCTTTGCGAAAACATGATTACTCCTATTATGTCAAGCAAGATGAACTTAGTTATATCTTAAGTTGAACATTTCAAGCTAAAAAGAGTGGAGTTAATTGACACTTCAGGCATATATAAACAGTAATCCCTGTCACACAATTAGGTTCTCACTATCCTTTTTCGTACATCCCCAAAAAATAAGTCTAGTTTCCTTTTCCGGTAAGAAATATGTGGTTCATACTAATTTCATCTCTCCCACATAAATATAAGCCAAGCAGCTTTCAAAATTTTATTTATAGTGCTTGGTCAAAGTGTGCTCAAAGTTTGGAAGGCAGGAACTACACAGTTTGCAAATCTTGTCTTTGCCTATATAAACATGTGAAACAGCTGGCATTCTAATAATAGAAAACTGCAACTGCTTAGCAGTTCGATCAAGCGGCAGAAAGAAAGAACTCAAAATGGAATTTGCTATTGCAGCCTTTCCTCCCCTGTTCGGTACTTATTGGCTAATTCAGCTAAACGTCAGAAAATAACTCAAACGTACGCAGAGAAGACAGCAAATAGTGAAACTCACCGAGTTGGCCCCTGCGCTGCTACTGTTGAACCACTAAGGAAGACCTGCAAATTAAAGGCGGATATGTGAGCTTGAAAAGACTCCCAAAAAAAGCTGGCTGGTAAAGTAGATTTTAAAAAAATATCTTGAAATACTCCGAAATAAGAAATGGAGAAGAAGAAAAAGAAGAGGATGCAAAGGACGGCATGAAACGGATCATGGATGAACTCAGTGATTTAAACCAACAAAAAAAATGAAATTGAAACAGCGCAATTGAGCTAATAAATTCTTCCAAAAAGGGGGGCGGAAATCATTGAGCAATGTAGTTCAATCCGAGAAACCTTCAGAATTCAAAGTAGTACACTTTCAAACGCGAAAACGGAATCAAGCAGGCGGTAGGGCACGCCGGAAACAATATCGGAGGGAGCTCCGGCGGAAGACTAACCTGGAGAAACAAAGAGGCGGCCAAACAAGTCGAGATAAGAAGCCTCATTCGTCTTCCGCCGGAAGAAAACTCCATAGCGGCCGCTCTCGCCGCCGGAGAGCGACAGAGGAAGAAACAAAAAGTCGAAATTGGTGTGTGAAAGCAAAGAAAACGGAGGTGTGGTCCGGTGGGAGTGGGGAGAGAATCGGAGAAAGTGTACCACGCGATTTATATAGTGTGGGGCGGGGGGGGAGAGGATATTATTATTGGGCTCAGTGCCAACTTTTGTCTTCATTTATTTTGATGAGCAATTAATTATTAGTGATCGGAGTGTGGGGGAGGGATATAGGAAAAAATGTAAATATTTGGTTGGATCAGTGACCATAAATTTTTGTGAAGAATGGGTGTAATTTTTCCACACTATATTAATTCTATATCCCAATTTAGTAAGAATGATTTACTCCATGTATCTCTAAAAGATTGACACGGTTTAACTTTTTTGTCAAATTATGATATTTTTTTACTACAAATTAAATATAGTTTAAAATAATTAAATATTATAAAAAATTGATATTTCAAAACTATACTTTTTGAAATAAATCCAATTTTACTAAATTTATGTTATAACTAAATATACTTTTTTCATAATTTGCGAGTTAAGAGTGTCACAATTTGTCCATGAGTTATAGTCAATTTTTTTGGAATATTGGAAAAAAACTCAAAATGAGAAAAAGACATATGAGGGGAGAGAGCAATCATTTAAGATGTCAAAAATATAAAAGAAATTGCCTTAAATATAGGTAAAATATAGAAAAAGTATTAAAATAAAAGTTTCATGTTTTTATTCTCTAAATAGAAATTCGCATTTGTAGTAATTTGACATTGTACATGAACATTTTATTATATTTTTTGGTAATGTAAATGTATTTTAACTCTTATTTTAGTTACAAAAATATATATAACTCTTATTTTGGTATATTTTCAATATTTTACTCGTACTTTAGTCTTTTTCCAAAAAGTATAGCTTAAATAAAAATACTTTCTTCATCTCATAATATTTGTCTAGTTTAACTTTTTATTGTCAATTACGATCAACATTTGACAGACAATTAAATAAAAATCACATGCATGGTTTATAACTTAGATAAATAAAACTTTTAAAAACTATTTTACAAGATAATAAACCTAATAAAATTATTAATATATCAATATTTAATAATTAAAATTTATTGATTAACTGTAAATAATAAAAAATGAACAAATACTCTATGACGGAGGTAGTAAACACCAATGCACACCCTATTTTCAAAAGTTATTTATAAAATCTTTGTTATTACAAAATGTTGCACATGCACCATTAGTGATACTTTTTTGGCCATTTTTTAATGAAGAGGGGGCATTGGTGTGTATTTTCCAAACGACGGGAGACAATGCAACTTATTTTCTATTTTTGTTTGTTTCTTCGTTTTTTCCTTTTTCTCTCTCTTTGTTTATACATACTTTTTAAATTTGTCTTTTAAAATATTTTTTCATAGTGTTTTAAAAATTCAAAATTGTTTTACATTATTCATCGTTTTTAATTGAAAACATTTATAGATGCTATATAAATTATTATTTATTAATAAAAATAGATGAATAATTTAAAAATGGATTGTAAGAATTAAAAAATTAAAAATAACCAGATAAAAGATTAAAATTACGAAATACTACATTAATAAAAGGAGAAATTTAACACACTTAAAAATAAAACTACAAATACTAAAAAATAAAAAAGTCCTTGGAAAATAAAAACTTAAAGTTAAATTAAAGTTGAAGATTTATCGAATTTATATAGTTAAAAAGTAAAAAAGAAATTGAAAAAATATTTTGGACCGGCACGGCAGCCCGTTGCAATGGACGGACGCCTGTCTTCATTGTAAGTGCACTGGAAATACGTTTGAAGCCCCGGGGCTTCAAACTTTCTCTCTCTGCCACGTCAGCTTTAACTTACACCCAAAATTCACTGAAAATGGGTTTGAAGCCCCGGGGCTTCAAACTGGGGCTTCAAACCTTCATTTTTTACATTTTTAAATATACATCTTCTAAAATTAAATTAATAAAATGTGATGAATTTATTATTTAATGATATTGAAACACAAACAATAAGAAAATACATTCATTAAATAAAAAAAGCGACAATAATAAAAAAAGATACGTTAATAATAAAACTAAGGAAAATTATATTTCTCCTTGATCTCTTCTATTCTTTGCTCGTAGAGCATTCGTCCAATCTCCGACAACGTCCCGGGGTCGGTTTATATGACTTTCATCTCGGCCTCCTACTCCTTTAGCTTCAACTCTTTCTCCTTTAGCTTCAACCTCTCTTGTTCTCGGAGATTGAACGCCCGAAGTTGTTCAACCATTTCCCGGCCGATTTCGTCGCGGAAACAGAGCCGGACCCTCCCGAACCCGAGGCAATGGATTTTGTCTTCTTTCTTCCGATCGGCGGTGGAATGGGGTCCTCATCATCGGAATCCACAACGTTGAAGGGAAGGATTTGATCGGTCGAACTGATAGTCTCGTCGACCTCAACCTCGGCGTCGACGGAGGATTTTTTCCAGAACGATCCGCCGTTGGGATTGTTGAGTTGTTGCCACTTCGGGGAACGACTCAAAATCCTCCAAAGATCTATTGGCACCTTGCCTTGGTGCCCGTCATCTTGATACCGGGCTGTGGCAAGCCGGAGAACATCGGCGTCGTTCGTCCCGCTCCTCTGGGACCGGGAGCATTCCTCGTAAACTCCGATAAACTTTCGGACTTTACGGTTGATGTGGCTCCATTTGGAAGTGAGTTGGTCCCGGGTTCGGTAGGAGCCGTCCTTGTTCATCGCCGTGAAGAACTTCTCCTCGATACGATCCCACATCGCATCCTTCGTTTGCTCCGAATCTTTAAAAAAGTATAATACAATATTTTTTAGACACCATTAAATATAATATATATAAATAAAAACATAAATATATTAGAAAAAATAAATTTTTTACCAATGATATGATGCTCGGAGACGTCAACCCAAGCCGACGCCAATAAGCACTCCTCCTCCGGCGTCCACTTTTGGATTGACCGTGCCGCCTCGGTCATCGTGCCTTTGGCTTTGTGGCTTTTCCGGCGTGTACTTTTTCTTGACCTGGTCGGTTCCGGTTGAGTCTCCAGAATTGAATCTCGCTCGACGTACCCCGATCGTTGCGTCTCGTAGATCGGCAGTTGATCGCCCCAGTAATACCACATCGCGGCGTCGCTTGGCGGGAGATTGTCGGGAAAGAAGCCGGTGCCGGAAGGATTCATGTTGAAAAGAGAGGGGGTGATTTCGAAATTTAAAATTTGGGAAGAAGAAGATTGAAGATGGAGAAGGTGTGAGAGATTGGGAGGGGGGTTTGAATTTATAAGAACGGCTATTATAGTCGTTAAGGGGGGGGAGGGAGAGGAATGACGCAGCATCATTCGTTTGACGCATGGCTAGTGACGCCCGGGTAACGCCGCCAGGGGGCGGTGTTTAACGCCCCGGGGCGTTAAAACACCCCTAACGCCGGTCGGCGTTATATGTATACCCAGTGCTCTAAGTGCTTTAAGAATCATTAATAGTTAAAGGAGAAATTATCTCAAATGTCACATCTTCGCGCTCTTTAAAAAATGGGCAAGGTTTCCATGACATTGCCCGGAAATGTCATGTGATGACCCCGGGTCGCTCCGGTACCCCATTCGTAAAATTGACTGTTCCTACCTCCCTTAACCCCCCCGGTAAACCCCCCCACCCTGCCCCGACCCGAACACCCCCCCCCCTCCAATTGCACCCCACAAGTTGTTTTTATAAATAATACTCCACCAAATTTAAGTGTTTTTTAGAGTAAAACTAATTATTTTTTTCCAATAATTGATAGTTATCTAATAATAATTTAACAATAAATTATTTTACACAATGGAGCTAATTTATTTACTTAATGACTCGCTACATTTTTTGTAAGTTGTAATTATTTTTCTTGAGCAGCACTTCAAATTGCTTATTGATACTTTACATTTATTATATTTTAAAAAATGGTAGTAGGAAACTTGTGAATATTTTTTCGATATTTTTATATGAATTTTTTTCAAAACAACATTACAAAAGTTATGAAAATAACACATTAATTTTGTCTCTGAAATGGAACTTTTATTTTTATAAGTCGCTACATTTTTGCTTGTATTGCAATTTTTTGATGAACAACACCCCGAAATGTTTATTGATAATCTTTTATTACCTGTATTATTTTTTCTAAAATAAAACTATCCGACTTGTGATTTTTTTAATAATTCAATACAAAAAATTTCTCCAAAATAATAATTCAAAAGTTGTGAAAATGGCACTAATTTATTTTAAAAACACTACAATTTTTTCTATTGAAATTTCTTTCTTGAGCAATACTCTAAATCATTTTTCGATAATCCAATATTATATTTCCTCAGGAACAGAAAACAAATTTTGTAAATCGTTACATTTTAAAAAAAATTGAGGCAGATCTCTATCAAGAATGTACTTTTATATTTTTAAAAAATAATTTTAAAAATTAAAATTAAAAGAATAAAAAATTAAATTTGTCTAAAATAATTCTACCTTTCATTTATTTACGAAAAACAAGCATTTACTGAAAATTCGTTAAGTGATTGTTAGTTTTTTAACGGCGGTCCAAAACTCGCACACATGTGAAAATTTGTGATTTATTTTTTTTGACAATAAAAAGTAAAATTCTTTTTAAAAAAATGTGAAAAAATAGGATTATTTAAGATAATTTTTTCATAATTAAATGGATATATGGATAGATGAGATGAGTTGTTTACATAGTTGAGTAAGTAAACCTATTCTCCCAACCAAATCTCAACCAAGCCTCATTAGTACAGAATATTAGTATTACGCACGATCGTTGGATGTGGTACGCATCGCCGGTTTCAGAGTCTTGAATTAGGCGTGGCACATTTATTAAATGTGTGTATTTCAAACTACTTTTGGTTAAGCTGTTTCTAAATTGCAGTAATTCATTGCTTTCGGCCGTCATGTTATAATTTGTTCACACATTTTGGGCTCGTAATATATAGACACACCGGTAATTTTTTGGTGAACTTTGAGTGCATATAACTTTTGTAAATTTTATCACATTAAAAATCTTTTTTTGTACTTTTAATTTTTTAAAAAAATACGGAGTAAATACTTATCTAATTAAAAAGTAAAGAAATGCTAATTTTGCGCATAGGCGCATGTGTTCGTACATGATGACTTTGCTCACTATTATACTTGTACTATTGTTTTATAGTTTTATAGCTATTATACTCCCTCTGTCCCGGAAAACATGGGAATTGATTTTGAAAAATGATTTAAGGGAAGTGTATTTTGGTATTGAATTTCTAAAAAGATCCTTTGATGCGATGAGTAAAAGTATGATTTGATGGATAGATTATTAATAAAAAGGTATGATATGATAGGTAGCGTAGGAAAAAGTAAGGGGTAAAGGTGACATTTTAATAGAAATGAGAAGTATTTTTTGGGACGGATGAAAAAAGAAAGGAAAAGAGTTTTCTGGGACGGAGGGAGTATATGATAGTGAATTTGTGTCTAAACAAGATCATTCGAGTCCAGTTATCATCATTAAGTTCTACTTTATACAATTTTAATTTATTCATTTACTCTAGTCAAAACTTGTTTTTTAGTTTTGTCTAATTAATGACTTGAACTACATTTGATTAGGGAGTACTCCATACAATAGGTACTCTCTAGTGTTGGGAGTCACCGTGTGTTGGGTTCTATCCACACCGGACAAGTCAATTAAATGCTACTATACTCACATATAGAGAAAGATGAAATACTATCGATTAGTTTAACCTTTTGGATGGAAAGTAAATTCGAACTTTATAAGAGTAAGTGATCAAATGTCACCCAATACCCCGCCAAGTTCACTCAACCCACCAACATTCTAACATGGTATCGAAGCCAAGTACATTTGGTTTGCGACCGTTTCATCATCGTATATACCGGGCTAGCTAAAAAGTGATTAAGATGCTAGACTCATTCATTCATCCAAGTAGTAACTAGACCGAGCTACTTATCACTTAGGGGTGGTGTTGGGAGTCACGATGTGTTAGGTTTGATCTCATACCGTAAGAAACAACTAAAAGCTACTCCAATATAAAGAAATGTGAAATACTGTTCATCAATGATTAAGATGCTAGACCTATTCATTAATTTGTATGTGAGGCATATACCAAAGGAGTGTTCATTGCATATGAGAGTTCACACCATAGTTCTTATATCCTAGCATGGAAATCTATAAAGCTTGGTCTCACAAAAAGAATCCAGCTTTGCAAAACAAACCTAACAGATACACATCGTGTGTTGTATTTAATTTGTTCGCAAGACCATCATCCAGAGGATAAGTACACTATTGATCTGGAAGAAGGCTGAGAGCACATCCTTGAAGTACGTAGTACTTGGAGAAGGTGTAACAAGTCAAGAAGAAAGACTCAAGCAGATCGAGTTCGTAGTGAGAAGTCATTTGTAAGTTGATTGGTCAATTCATTAGAATGTTTTTGTGTGATTGATTGTAACATGTCATTACGGTGATTTAGTGGATGACTATTACATACACGAACATGGGCTTCACGGTGATTTGTTGTCTTATTGATTTTCTCTCTATGTATGTGCACGTGACAGAAAAGATGTTATAGCACTATGTATGCAGTGGCGGAGCCAAAGAGGATCAATTGAATGCAATTGCAGTCACTCCAATTTCTATATATATACTCCCTCCGTCCACTTAAGATCTTCCTATTACGCGTTATGAGGCTTGACCGACTTTATTTTCAATTCAATTTATTTGAATATAGGGGTAAAATTTTAATATAAAATCTATGTAGTAATAAACTACATGAAAAGTTCTACAAAACTAGAGGTGACAAGATTATATTATTTTATGAAATGAGTAGTGAAAATAAACAAACAAAGTGAATTAAGTTTGACCCTGTAAATAGTGTCTGGGAAGATCTATGGTGGACAGAGAGAGAGAGTGTGTGTGTGTCTATATATATATATATATATATATATATATATATATATATATATATATATATATATATATATATATATATATATATATATATATATATATATATAGGGGGGGAACAGAGCAGCGGGGGCAGTGGCCGAATTAGTGGAGACTGACATATACTCCCTCCGTTTCTTAAAACCCTTCCTCTTTCATTTTTTTTGTTTTTCTTAAAACACTTCCCTTTTCTATTAAAAAACCACTTTTACCCCTACTTTTTCATACCCTACCTATCGCATCATACTTTTTCACTAACAACTAAACTATCACATCTTACTTTTACCCATCACATCAAAGGCAAAATTAGAAAGTCAACTACAATTTAACACTTCCTTATTTTCCCCCAAAGTCAAAAGAGGAACTCTTTTGAGAAACGGAGGTAGTATCTACTTGAATTTTTTTAAATAGCAAGTATATCAATTGATAATATGATTTTTTTCTGTACTAATTTGGTGTTATTTTTAATATTTTTGTTTTTTTATTAAATTAATATGAGGATTATGCTCAAATCAACGCTTGTTTTTTAAATTAACAATTTTGATGAAGAAAATAAGAAATTGTACAGAGTACATAATACGTAGTATTTCTTAAAATGCTTACATTTAAATTATATGAATGTTAGTTTGACATAAAATTCTTTATTTTTTTATTGTTTTATACTATGTATTATCTTTTTAAATAAATATTTGGGGCACGACTCACGAGCTCCCGGTATAATGCACCCACCACCTCTTGATCCTAGCTCCGCCACTGTATGTATGTCTTCTGCTTCTGCAAGTTTCCAACTCTCCTACAACATCATTTCCAAGAGATTATTCGTTATACCTAATTTACAAAATGAACATAAAATATCATCAATCACGCCTAAGTTCAATGAAACCAAGCACGACATGAGTTTAATTCGGAGGCATTGATTGTGAATTTGTTTTAATTTTTTGGTTTTAGAATAATCTACTCCAGATATATATGTATCTTTCAATAGTGTTTTCAAATAGTTGTGTACTCCCTCCGTCCCAGAATAAATCTTCCCGTGTTGACTTAGCACGCTTATTAAAGAAATAATAAAAAAAATGTCAAATTTTCAATGGTGGGGTTCTAGTGCCACTGGAGTACGGTGCCACTGGCATTTTGGGGCACCTCCGGTGCTCGGTTCGCAAAATTGACAGTTCCTACCCCCTAACCCACCCCCTAAACCCCCCACCCTACCCCCGCCCCTGCACTCCCACCCCAACCCCGCCGTAAGCCCCCCACAAAATGTGTGGCTATTGTGGGGGGCTTACGGCGGGGTTGGGGTGCAGGGGCGGGGGTAGTGTGGGGGGTTTAGGGGGTGGGTTAGGGGGGGTAGAAACTGTCAATTTTGCGAACCGAGCACCGGAGGTGCCCCCGTACTCCAGTGGCACTAGAACCCCACCGAATTTTCAAAAATACACGTAGTATAAACTTTTAAA